CTCACTCACTCACCCACTCACTCACTCACTATGTTCACTTTTGTCCCACATACAGAGCCTAGAGGATGCAATTACCAGTGGGACACCGTTTCCATGCTTGGAAACTTTGGTGTTGCGTGATATGTTTCTTTCTCGGTGCGATCAGTCACGCGACGTTTTTCGGAAGCCAACTTGGATTGAGCGCAGAGCATGTCAAGCGAAAGTCAACGTCGCATCGAATTGTCCCAGTCAGCCTTTCGAAGTGGACTGGTGTCGAGTAGCACAACTACAGGCGCTGTCCGATTTGTTGGCTGCCCGGCATTTGAGCCATTCCTCTACATGTCCTGAGAGCATCGGTCTGGCCTCTTCTGTACGAAATGTCGCTGCTTCATTCCCATCTGGCGGAGTGCGAGATCCCGAATTGGCGCTAAAACCTTTCGATCTTTTTGTGAGTTTTTCCTATGCCCATGTTTCACAATCTGGTTTGAGTTGACCAAATAGTCTGAATTTTGCTTATTGAAAACTGCTTGGCAGGATAATGGGATGAATATCACATGCGAAAAACAGACATCAATCATGAGTCGATCCTTTTCTGCTCCATGACGTGTCCATAAAACGTGTTTTAGTGCATTGTTCTCAATAAAATTGACAACTAAATCCCTTAAGTACTCTTCAAATGTACCTACATGTGTCCTGAAGATCGTGTCCCGGTTCTGTAGTGCGCGCGGCGGTATCGAATTTTGCCAGATCACATTCAAGAGGCCAGTAGGCTTTTTACGCAGTCTCTTTCCTTTGCTGTAGCACAAATATTGGGCACATCATTTTCTCGCATTGCATTTCCCATTTCGAACGAACCATGGTCTTCAATCAAGCACTCGTAATTCGCAGAGCAATCAAGAAGTTGCATCTCGCAAGCACAATGAATGCCCCACTGGGACAGTGCAAGGACGAGACGAATGTGGATCGGCACGTGGATGACATGAACCGACGCACTTTACTGCGCTGTTACTTTGCCGGCAAAAGAATAAGCAAACACTATCGACTTGCCAACGTGGAGAATTGTCTCTTTTCGTAGCCCCCGTCTTTTTTGCCTATGGCGTCCTGAAGAATTTGGTAGCTTTGTGAGACGAAAATCTCTGCGTTCTTCTCCTGATGACTTCATCCGCACGCGTTGCAATCAAATTTATTGAATTCCTACTTGCGGATGAGCCGACAAATTTGTCTACCTGAGCAGACACATCAATCTCGGTGGTCTGGCCAGAGATCTGGTATTTCCATCTGGATTGGGAAGGCTGGAGCAGCTTTCATGAACCTGTACCACCTGTGGCTTAAGCGTGACATCCGTCAAGGGTCAAGTTTACAATGCTGCGGTGCTCAAACCACCAAGCACCAGAATTCAGCGACCATCGTGAATGAAGAAAAACGCCTCGACCATTGAGTAGAATACTTCGGACAACATGGAACCCACAGCTGAAGTGCAACCCTGGGCGGTGGAACTGAAACGCCCTACGTCTCGGAGGCTTATGACTACTTAAAGTCCCTCAGCCGCCATCGGGCTTCTGGTCTGGATGACCTCTCACTCTCATTGTTCAAAGATCGGGTGAAGTCCTCAGTCAGTGCTTGTCTGTCTGATCTGTGTGCCTGTAGTTGGGGAAAGGTGACTGTCTGAGACAACTAGGGAGAGTCGGTGATCGTGCCCATTCCCAAAAAAGTGGTGTTGTAACCACAGGGGAATCAGCTTGACCCCGGTCGTAACGAGACTGTTGGCGCCACTTGGTCGCTTTATGGCGGCTCGTGCAACGGACTCCAGAGCAGCAAGCGAGATTCCGGCCTACTAGGGACTGTGTTTACCAAATCGTCACACTCCGTCAGGTGCTAGATTAACGTCGTACGTACACAGTTAGAGTATTCTTGGATTTCCAAAGCATATTGAAATAAAGTTTTCAGAATATTGGTGCGAAGACTTCATCCTGTAAGTGAAGCCAATCTATGCTGAAAAGCCGGTGTATTTTGTGCACGATAGATGTTTCCTTCATGAACTGATCTCCAAATAACCTCACCTCAGTTTGGTGTCATTTCTGAACTCATCGATTTCCTACCGGCAATCATGTGCTATTGGCCCCCTCCGCTAAAACAAATGCTCATTGTTGTACTTTGTAGATATGAATGAAGCCTAGTCATCTGTTGGCTTGGGGTAAACAAGTCGTGTCGTTTAAGGAATCAGACTTTCCAATGTTTGGGATCTCCACTGTGTGGTCACTTTTTGGAAGTCCTCGTACATAATCTAATTCCTAAGATGGTACCGCCCCTACTCTCTCAGTTCTGCCCAAGTAGCAATCGGTATGAGCATACAAATGTCACCTTGTTTTTTGGAAGTCTCTGGACCAAAAAGGACCAACCAAATTTCTAAATTTATCCAAAGCATCTAATCTCGTTTCGTTTCTCGCTCATTGTGGTTGAGCTACTCGGTCAGATGACTTCACACGCCTTACAATCGATTGGCATAACGTCGCCAAGTGTACTCACAGTTGAATCGATCACTACGTGGACTAATGTCGCACTTAATCTGAACCCTATATTGGAACCCCCCCCCCATATCCTACCGGTGCGTTACCGTGGACGTAAAGTAGATTTGTACGCTCTTCACTAGTGCATTGTTCTACAAGTCTCGTTGACCGTTGATCGGTAGTGGTGAACCTTGCCAATGTTCCTCTCTGTTTGCGCGCGCGTCAGGAAGCAGTACTCTAAACCTCCGAGCTACATCCTTCTTGTTTCTCTAAGCTACTTTTCCATTTCCATATTTTTATAGTACTCGCTGAGGACCCGTCACTACTTATCCAATCTCCTGGAATTAGACGGATCATGTGGTCCACGATCAATTGGTCAGAGACGTTTTGCGAATGCTCTGTTTGGTCCGCTTAGCTCAACTGCTCATACCGTTCCATCGGAAACTCCGCATAACGTGGAATTTGTATCCCAGTCCACACAGACTTGTATTTGTGGCACGCTGGAATGGAATGTTTTCAATGACCTGGTACTTCTACCGCCCACCATTTCTGCAGATAGTGCCTGTTCTTCCTCAGCACACCTCACGCGGCCTCATGTTGATTACTCGATTCCCACGGATGTCTCTTCCACCGATCAAGCGCAACAACTCGGGGGTCCGTTAGCCTTCCATCCATTCCCTCCGTCCATCCTCCATCAAGAATTGTTCAAAATCGTCACTGCCTCTGAATGGACCAAGGACGTGCTCCAAACCCCTCCAATGGTCCAACTCGCTTCCCTCCAGTCTACTACTACACGCATTCCAGTTTCATCCGGTGACTGTCCCGGTTGCGTTTCCGATACATTCCACTGCGACCCGAATTCCCAGTCGGTGAGTCATTTTTCAGCGATATGTTGCGAAAAATGTCCTACTTAATTCTTGGACATGGACCCAGATATTCCTTAATCTCTACCAGGGAAAAGGATAACGGAAACCGCTCAGGATTATTGCAGCTGGGAACAGTTTTCTCGGGATCAGTGATGCGGATAAAAGGAAGTATCATTCACAACAAAGTCCTTATTGGTCACCGGTGCCTCATTGTTGTACTGGTTATGCGCCGAATTGGACCTGGACGTTATTGTGTCTTGCTGAACGGTAGGGAAACTCCGTATCAGTCCCTTGGCTTCCTGCTCCACCCCCTATGGTATATCAAAAGGCGCGGTAGCTTCAGGCAGCACTTTATGGAAACAAAGGAAAATTGCTACAACTGTATTTATAGGGTAGTCACAGAGTGTTCCACAAGGTCGTGCTAGAATCTCCGTGAGGGGAGAAGAAGCGTCGAGTCGAAGATGCTCGATCCGGATTGGCTGGCATTCTGGCCAATCAGAGCATGCCTTCATTTGGTGAGTATCTTGCACGTGACACATCTGTCCAAACGATGTGATGTTCGGTTATTAGGGACGGCTGGCCTCCGAATAGACGTGGAGAAGTGGATTACTAGACTCTTAAGTACGATCCGTTATCTCAATAGCCTAATTACAAGCCAGCAGTATTTGATAGGAAAGTGCCGTAGTGTTTCCATTGTTAAAGGACAATTCACCATACTTGGTAGAACCCCCAGCATGGGTGAGGGTACAGGGTAGTGTATTGGTCAGACTGCTCTCGGTTGGCCAACCTAATACCGAAAGCTTTGTCAGTTGCCCACGATAATTCCCAGTGTAACTTAGTGGGTTTTGGAGCCGCAGTAGGGTTCGATCTCCATAGCACAGCCACCTTTACGTTATTAAAATGTATTTCAAACCTTTGTAATATACTACTCATAAGGTTGCTGAAAATCCATCGACAGCCCACGACCGGTTTCGCCCTTCTTGGGGCTCATCAGGTAGGCGCAGTCCCCGGGTTTCCGTCAACCTTATGTTCTACTTCAAACCAAATTGCACCAAATTACCGAATATACACTCATTTGCAAACTAATTTGGTTCTTTCGAGAGACTCACCTGGAACCCAGCTGAATCTCCCGTTACTTCATGGTGTTGGCTGTCGATGGATTTTCAGCAACCTTATGACTAGTACATTACAAAGATATACATGTTTCGCGATATTTCAAATATTGTAGCGACTGAAACATGAGGCGGCCTGGTGCAGCACATTCACTTGCCTGAGAGCATCATAAACGAGAGATTCAGCTGGTTTCCAGTTGAGTCTCTCGAAAGAACCAAATTAGTTTGCAGATGAGTGTATATTCGCTTATTTCAAACCTTATCTCTGTACGATTCCACACTGGAATTCATTGCCTAATTCAAGACTCATGTGAAGTTCTGCAAGAAACATCTAGACTTGAAACTGTTCAGTCAAATAGACTCTAGACGTTCTTACAAAAACCATACTTAGTGGCCTCTAGAAATAATACACCGAGGATGGGGTGATTTGTTGTCTATTTCTTTCCTCGAGAGAGGTCTAGCGCTAAGTTGTAGATGCTGGAGTTGACTTTGTGAGCTCAAAAAGAGTGTGGCCTTTTTCTATCGACATTTCCGTGACTAGTCAAAGGAATTATGGATATAGCTGTGAAACTCGAGACATCCACGGCAGTATAAACCGCTCCACGACTTGAGAGACCATTAGAAGGGGCTTGTAGCAGAATGCAAGGTATCCTGCGCTCGAATATGAAAATGCGCCTTGAGCGTTGGCGGGGGTCTGTATACCACAGTCAATGAACTATCGACGCATCGATCCCAAGCTACTGTGAAACGATTCGCCGGCAGCAGTCGTGTTACACTATGCCTAACTTGAGGGTTGAAACCTCATGGGACTGTGACTTCCAGGGAGTTGTATGGCCGCTTTTTGTCGCTTGAACTCACTGGTTCGTGATCCGATTATGCCTTTTTAATCCTTTCGAAAAAGTTTACCGTGTTTCTTATATTCATCGATCCCTTGCGTATGGCGCTGAGAAGCGGCGTGCACAGGTATGACGGGTTGTACTGACAGATGATAATCTCTAATGCTTCTGTTGCATAATTTTTCCGTCCCTGGTTCTGCCTACTTGTCAGCACCAGTCTCATCGTTAACATTGTCAACAGCTTTGTCCCTGAAACTAGCTTCCCGGACCTCATAACATACTTGAGTAAGTGTGGTACGGATTAGTTAACCGTGTATCTACTACTGATCAAAATAAGCCTCTATTCTCTGGCTTCCTCTCGATCAACGTCCGAAAAATCAGTTAAATGTGTTGCAAGTTCCTTTGACGGAAACTATTATTGAGTTCTATGTACGCGCTTCTGACTGGAAAGTCCATAGTGCCATTCCTCCTGTCTGAACTCGGACGATCTGACAGTAGTTCAGCCCGCCAGGTGGAAAGTGCAACTGGCAAGTTGTTGTTCCACCCATAAGCATCAATAATTCCTGAACACATGCACGCAAGCTCAATTGAATGCGTCCGATCGTTGGTCTTTCCGATGATTAGGTGCAACGTGTACAGCAAACGCGGTGGGTCTGAATGAGTGTGACTTTCTGTCGATTATTCCAATACGTGGAATGTAGAGGCTAGGGTATCGAAGTCAAGTGATTGATGCCGTGTGACTGTGTAGAAATCCCGTTTAGAATAGCTCGTTACAGGAAAACTCGTAGCAAAATGGGTACTATCACAGAAACTTCTGCTTCGCAAACGATGCTCCCTCATTTACGATTGGAAACGCTCACCGGGAACTGCTGTTTCAAGCTGATGGGAATCTCCAACAGTTTGGGATTAATGTGGCTGGCCCGCGACTAGGTTCCATGTTGTCACAATCACAGCCCACCCGAGAACAATTGTGGGCACTACCTCTTCACGCAGTAGCACAGATGAATGAGTGAATCGTTGCCAATTGGGTCGACTCGGCTGTTATATAGAGTGCTATTCTGACCCGCCCACTCCACGGTCAGCACAACCTGTTCGCCCTGTCCTCTCTCATAATAAGCCAGCTGGCTGACTGAACCGATTCACACCTGCCACATCGACAGATTCGTTGCGACAAGTCATGTCAGTAGGTTGGAAACGAAGGCTGTGCAACGTCGGTGAATGAATGAAGAGCACGTGTGGATTCAAAAACTATTTGAGTTGGAAGCGCCCCCGCCGCAACCGTCCGATTGCCGGTCTTAATGTTGCCCGAGTCAGGGCTCTACACCCTGAGATTTTGTAGCCGGTCCGTTTTTTGCCGCTTGTTCATTCGAACAGTTACCCTGATAAGGATATGTTCACTACTCTGCGCTAGAATTCACAAATATCTGGCATGCGTTTAGTGTCAGGTGGCTCAGTTGTTAGAGCGCAAATTTATTGAATGGAACGACCGTGGCTCGAACCCACCTATGCATCTCGACTTCTGTCTAGGCTTGGGCAACTTGTCAGTATCCTAGTCTTCGTGCTTCCTTCAGGTGGCATGGTAGCTAGGCACCGAAAGGACACTACAGTTGAACGATTCTTTACTTTTCACAGTAGTCAGAATACTTTCAGCTTTGTAACGCCCTTCCGGTGCCTAGCTGCCATGCCAGTCGAAGGAAGCACGAGGGCTGGTATACCGCCAGGTCGCCCAAACCTAGACAGGGGAAGTCGAGAGGCAGAGGTCGGGTTCGAACCACGGACCTTGCAGTCAGTAAATTTGCGCTCTAACCACTTGGTCCATCCCGCCCCCAAAGTCGTTCAGCTGTAACACCTTTCCGGTGCCTAGCTGCCATGCCTCCCGAAGGAATTACGAGGGCTGGGAAGTTAGTATACTCTGGTGAGATAAGGGGGTCCGAACACCTTTTTGCTTATAGATGCTAGCGATGGGCCATTCCTATAATCAGACTAATGTAGTAGTTCGAACCGCGGGTATTCAATATGTTGTATACTGAGGATGTGCAACACAACTGGTTTGAGTAGTGGTGCGATCGCCACGTGCAAATGTCGCCGTCCGTTATCGTTCGCCATAGATGTGGATACAAGTTCAATGCTATATACAGTTTGCAACGTTCCATTGTGTGTAACGCTGAAGTCTGCCCAACCAGCTACCAACGCATTTCCGATGGGTGGACAAGTGCTAACATCCGGATGGCCGTTGATCTATCAGTGGAGGGCTTGTGACACTGAATCCCCTTTAGAAAGCCACTTTACACGCTGCTCGTGTAAATAGATTAAGGGAATGGGGAAATCTGTGCTTGGAGATCCCTCGTAAAAGTGCTAGCAACGAAACAAGGAACAAAATGAGAGGCCATTGATAGACGTACAACAAATTGAAGACAAATGATCCCACGAGTTGTAAATCCAGAAAGGTTTGGACACGTAAACTCTAACCGAAGACTGGAACATTGAGAGATTAATGGTTCTTGCGATGAACAGAGACAGTATTCTGTCTTCTATAGAGGAAAATGTTGGTAGCTCAGGTAGCGTAGATGGTCGTTGGCTTGGCTGCCCCTTCCCCTGATATCCTCTTCTTTTTCGCTTCTTCCGTAGTGGAATGAAGCTGAAACTTGTAGATCAGCAGTGGTTAGCACGGGTAGGAAGTTTCCCTAAACGGAAAAGGAGCTAAATTTTTAGAGGTCCGATTCGCAGTCATGAGATGTTGAAAAACGGTAGACCAAAACGTAAACACGTTATGGATAGCAGAATTGAATTGGGGTCCATTGTGAGAGCGAAGTTGTATGCAGACTAGCGGAGGGGTGGCGAACATGTAGAACTTTGGAATGATTCAACGTGACTGCATTGGACGAACCCCAATCGAGGATTCCCACAAGGTCCACTCATTGTCTGTGTGTTATATCACCACCAAGCTGAATGGAGGCAAATCGCTGGGAGCGATCACGGAGATGACCAGAAACGGAGTGAAGGGTGAGGGATACTACGAAACTCCGAAGAATTCCAGTTTTTGCACTGTGGAACTGAGGGACAATGCTATTAAGGGGAACGATTCTCCGAAACATAACCGACTCATCTAATCAGTTTCAGATGCGGGTCACACATGCGTGCCGTAGTTAACCGAAGGCCTTTGACACACCAGTTTCACCTCAAGAGTTTGGGGCAGATGACCAAACGTGAGAAGAACATGCCAACGGATTGCAGGTCACAATATTGATCGTGTCCACTGTTTATAAGCAGAGTTCTGTGTCACCCATCTTCTACAGGGCATCAATGAGGTGCCGGGAGATTCTGAACCGGGTCATCGCACCGTAAAACATTTATGATCCTAAAGGAAACTACTCATAAGGTTGCTGAAAATCCATCGACAGCCCACGACCAGTTTCGCCGTTCTTGGGGCTCATCAGGTAGGCGTGGTCCCCGAGTTTCCGTCAGCCTTGTGATCCTACTTAGTGAAACTAGACGCTTACAAAATTTTAATTTCAGCTCGTCCAACTTATCTGCCTCAAGCTGTACATCAGTGTGTTTCGGTAGTACACTGACAATATGCAACGTCCTGTACAAAAGCTGGATTTTGTCACGGATCAGCCAGCCACAACCACAACCAGAAGGATCGATCGCACGGACTCCGGGTTCATCGATGGCTAGACTGTGTGACGGTTCGTTTTCGGTCTTGTTGGGCAGCTTGAACCCGAGGATGTTAGCATTCACTGGGGGCACAGTGATCAACATTACACGGTCTGTGTATTCAGATCCGTTTCACATGATCCCTTTAGGTTCAGTGTTTAATCAGGGAAAACCTACTCACCGTCAATTGCTCTACTTACCGTAGCTGTTACGAGTGTTCGTTCAGGCTTGTCGTGACTGACTCTTTTTGACCAACTAGGTAGTCTGTCGTCATGGGCATACATGTTTCATGACCAAAGTTCACATGTACTATGAACCGATCGAACCACTTTGGCCTTGCTTTAGAGAACAGCATAAAAGTTAAGATCGCCTATGACATGACAATGCGCCATGCCCCTCACGGATTGCGTAAAAGCTATATGCCGTAAATTCCTCACAACCGACCGGTTTCTCTCTGTTTGTTTATTGTACCATGTCCTATTACCGCAAATCATTCTTCTTTCGTCCCGCTCAGCTCTCCGGTCTTCAATTTGAGACCGATCTACAGCACCGACCGCGTAAATGGCTCGCTCGTGATGCTGCTATAGACACCACGGAACTTCGCTGTCACACCTTCCCCGGACCCCTCGTATTCACAGTACTGCAAAATCCAGGTGCTCCGTTCAGCAACCTGACTTCGATCCACTTCGAAAAAGTATGAGTCCAAAATTCACTGTGTTCTACCTCTATTCTCCAGTTAAACTTGCCAGTCTGTCTGTCTGCCGCAGTTTTCTCCAGTTGAATTCATTTGACCTTATAGCAACTTACTGGTTTGTTCCACTGAGGTATAATTATTTCCCTACTAGGAGAAGCGATCATAGTAACCCACTGAAGAGAGGCCGAAACTACCTTTCGTGATTTATAAGTTACTTTGCCCCTTTCCATGATATCCTCTTCTTGTTCACCCCTTCAGAGGCGTTTCGATGTCAGCTGGTATCTCTCTCGGAGATTTTCTCTCTTGGGTCCGAAGTTGATGTGTCCGGCGCAGAATTCACTCCAAACCAATCACGTTTTAAGTGCCTAGAACAAGCAGGTTTTCTTGTGGCATAAATGTAAAGTGCAGTGTTATAGCATCTAATACGTTAATGCTATTTTACTGTAGTTTTACCTCCTTAACTTACCTGGTGACCATCCTGTTTAAGTTTTTCTGTATCTGCTGTAGTGTGTACGCTATGGAAGCACCAGGGGACAATGATTCTCCGAAGGCAGGTGTTCACGATAATTTCTGTGAATGGAAAACAGAAAGAAAGCTCATGAGACGAAGTCCAGTAAGCAAGGTTGTACATCACCAATACTCACATATGAATCAATCAAAGTGACAGACACTGGACCACACACTAGACCAGATAGTCTTGATAGCAGCTGGAAGTAAAAAGGACGACTGTAGTGTTTTGCAACATCTCCAGTCACTTCACTTACGGCAGTGAAGCATCGGTGTTGAACACTGATGTCATGCTATCGATGATGATGAGTCACTTTCCTTCAAAACCGCTAGTACAGTGTATGGGACCTCAGTCCAAATCGCCTAAACTTGTCGTAATATACACATAGGTCTAAAAAACTCCGCGATCCTTTCTCAGCTACTTGTGTTACTGGTTCCCCCCCCCCCTTAGTCAGAACTCACCACGTGGCATGTGGTTAGTGTGACCCAACATTATTGAGGCATTAAATCACAGGGGTTCATTTCAGTGAAGTTGGCCCACGTCTCGACAGCCACTAATGTAGTTTGCCTTTATTCATCTCTTACAGGTGGGACTATCTCATCTAGTTCTGAGTGGTGCTCCACATCTGAAAAATGTCACCTTAGAGAACTGCCCACAACTGCAGGCCATTTTGCTCGCCCATCCTTCGGTTCCGATGGACACGGAAACCGTCCCAAGCACGTTACCCTCACTTCGGCGTATTCGAGTGATCCGGTGTCCCAAATTTGCCATCTACCACCTGCTGAATGCCATAGCAAGCATGTATCCGAGCCACGATGAGAACGTTTCGATCATCTATCGGTACGTTATCCAATCAACTGCTAGTTAATTGCTTTGCCAATTTTTTGGTGACCTAAAGCCTTACCCATACGCCCCCCGCTCCCCATCCACCGGACGATTCAGTGTGATCTACCCATCTCCCAGTCCCCCAGGCAATGTTTCGTGTCTGAAACGTCGCCCAAAAGAATGAACTGAAAGAATCACTTACTTATCCCAGGAGATCTGATCCACGTTGCAATCTTTAAAATTTGCACTCAATGTCGAATTGGGCATCTCTTGCTGAAACCTTGCTTTCCCTATCTGTCTACGTGTGCAGTGTCTCCAAAGTACTCATACAAGCCACCTCTTCGGTCGTGTTTAGACCAAGCACAGATGTTCCACATATCACTCTTCTGATATCCGATGATCCTGACAACGGTGTGGGAGTTGTACTCAGCCCGAAGGCTGAAATCGCCTTACTGGACTGGATCCCACTCTTTGCTCTGTGCGGTCGTCTGGCTGAATTAATATCAAGGCACTTCGATGTGGTAAACGGTGTTTTTTTTGTCTTATCAGTATATGCGCCCCAACAGACAGCAGTTCGGAGACTGAGAAAGACGCGTTTTTTTTTCAAGATCTGTCACGACTACATGGATCATTAAGAATGCCGAATATTGTTATTCTGGCGGGTGATATGGATGCCCAAGTTGGCCAACTAAGTCCAGAAAGAGCACAGTTAGGCGGTAGATTTGGGGTCGATGCTTAGCGTATGGATAATGGGAGCGACTGCTTCAGTTGTGTGCAGATTGCCGTTTCCTTTTTTGGGTACGCAGTGTGACTCTGATAATGCCATTATGAGAGACCGGTTAACACTTCGCTTTGCGTCAGCATTACGTGTGCCGCAGAGCATTCCATTCTACAAGTTTCAGTGGCTCAAAAGTATCGAGTTGATCTGGCTAAAAAGTTACTGGAACCGCACAGTCATTTAGATGACGAAGATTGCTTAGAGGTTGAATGGATGTGTGTGAAAGAAGCTATTAGCCTTAGAACTGTTTGTCCGAGTTCTCCGACTCGATTGAGTGAACATTGGATATCGACGAGATCAGCAGATCTTATTGCTACCAGAAAGGCCATACCAGCAACGAGCGACCGTGATGGTGCACATAAATTACTCAGATACCGGATAATACGGTAGTAAAGCATCAGTGTTGAACACTGATGTCATGCTTTTGATGATGATGATGATGATGATACCGGATAACCAGGAGTTCGAAAAATGACAGAGCGCTGGTGAATTTCCAAGACCCAAAAAATGTAGAAGGCTTTCGCTGCCCCCTATTTCAGCTGATGCAATCAACCGACCAAAAGAAGACAAGTGTCTGCGAAAAACACTGAAGGGTAATTGGCTGAAAGCTTCGGAGAACAGTTTAGCTGGTCTGCTTCAACACAACCTCTGGAAGAATCCAGCACACCTGTATGGAACGTCGACGCGAGCTCGCCATCATCAGCCGAAATGCAGCGTCAGATATCAATCCTCAAGCATGACAAGGCAGCTGGCCTGGACGGCTTGCACTCTATACTCTTCAAAAACAGGTGGTGAACAGTCTGATAACCATATTGCAGAAGATTGGGAAAGAAAAGGAAATGCCAGTCAAATAGATTTCTTCGAACTTCATCTAAGTCTTCAAAAAAGGCGCAAGGATGTCATCCGAAAGTCATCGTAGCATCAGCCTGGTATCCGTCGCCCCTGAGCGGCCCCCTGGCATCATTTTGCGTAGGTTGGTCGGTTATCGAGAGAGACAGCTTCGTGTGAATCAATCTGAGTTTTCGTCCCGGCCGTGGATGCGTCGACCACATCTTAATCTTGAGACAAATTCTTGAACAGCGCCACTCCTGTAGACGACCCAGATTGATCTGAAAGCTGCTTTTGACTCTGTCGACCGTCAGAATCATTGGCAATGTCTAGCGATCAAAGGTACCCCTTCCAAATTTATATTCCTCATGAGGGCGCTATACGAACTCTTGAGGGTGCGTACGACAATATGGCAAGCTTTCGCCTGAGTTCACCACATCTAGTTGTGCATGACAAGGCTGTCCACTCTCGCCTTTCCTCGTTGTTATTGACGTACTAGTCGAAATTACTCTGCCTGTCTCTGAAACCTCGGGACTCGAAATGCTCCCGGGTTTTTCACTCACAGACACTGAGTATGAAGACAATAATACTCTCCTCCGTTCAGATCCTTCAAAAATTCAGACCATTTTAAACAACCCTAGTAATTCGAGAAATACACTAATTTGCAAATCAATTTGGTTTTCACGAGAATCTCTCGTTTATGATATTCTACAACTGAATGTGCTGCACACAGGCCGCCTCATGATTTAGTTGGCACGATATTCGAGATATCGCAGTTTACTTTCATGAAGGAAACTACTCACAAGGTTGCTGGAAACTCTTCGACAGCCCACGACTGGTTTCTCCCTTCTTGGGACTCATCAGGTAGAGGCATTCCTTGAGTTTCCATCAACTTTATGTAGAATATCATAAACGAGAGATTCAGTTGAGTATCTCGTGAAAATCAAATTGATTTGCAAATGAGTGTATTTCTCGACAACAGTCCAATTTCGGTTCAAGTAGTTCATAAGGTTGACGG